TAAAGGTTCTGATCATGATGTGAGAAAGACAAAGTTGGGCCAGCATGAAAATAGCTACAGGGGCACAGAGCTAGCTGACACAACACAAACTGCAGTACAACAAGCAATAGTCCATCACGCTTTTGCTTCTATCAGGAGCACTGATATCAAATCCTGCTCTTAGCCTTCACGCTTACCCACACTAAACCCTCTGGGTCTCCCCAAGCTCCTGATCCATTGACTAATAGTACTGCAAAAACTGGGAATTCCCCATGGAAAAGCTAGGAGACCAGAGGAAAAACAGCAGCAGTAGCAATGCCTGTGTAAGCACAAATACATGAAACAGTCTTGACGTTTCTTCCACTGTCCGTTATCATCAGCGCATGAACAAAGCCCCATCAATTCTTTATGTATTTTTTGGAAACAAATTCAGTTTTATCACTGGCTAAATTCAGCAGCAAGGCCGCCTGCAGCTAATCCACTCAGCTCTCATTAGTGTTATCAATGAGAAGACTCTGGGATTGCTACCCTGATGGAGATTAGTATTTCCTGAGTCGTAAGCAGCAGAGACACGCGGAGCACTCGCACACGCTCAGACATTCACAGCTTAGTCAAAAATATAGCACCTTGTCACAGCGGAGGACCCGGTCCACATCACCAAGTTTTGCCGCTGTGCAGCTCAGAGACACATGGGATATAGGGGAAGATCGGTTTTGGCCTCTAGGGGAGGAGCAGGGCAGCAAAACACCTTCAAGAAGATACATATGACACAACTAGCAATATTTAAGGGGCCATTTGAAAAGGTAAGAACAGCCTTTTCTTTCTCGTTGCTAGCTTCTCGTTCCCACAATCTCCTATACTAGTTCTTCTCCTTTCTGACTTCTATCATTCTTCATCTTCACATCCTCAGTCATCTACAACAAGAGGAATTTCCAAGGTCTGGTCATTACCCAGGTCATGGTGCGATCCTACCATCGCCCTTTGCTCTTTAGGCACGGCGGGATGCACAGCGCACCCCGAGCATCTGCAAAAGGCTGGGTCCGAGGCAAACGCAGCGAGAGAGGAAGGCTGTCGGGGACGAAGTGGTATCTTAAACGGAATAAAAACTACGGCTTCCAAGGGGAAAGGCGAATATTCTCCACGCTCTGAAGGCCTCCATCCACAGTGGGACAATTGCTCCCAAAACAGCAGCTCATAAAAGATAACATCGCAATGAAAGTCGAAAGAAATGAAAGGGAGCGTCTGCTGTTCAACATGCTGAGGGTTTACCCCTGTATTACCTATTTACCATACATAAAGCCTATTATTTAGGGCAAGTTCATACCGGGAACATGCATGATGTTTTATTGCATTGTATGGGAACTCTCAGTTGTTAGAATTCATTTTAAAAACGGACTATGAAGTTTACACCCAAAGGAGACTTGACTCATCTCTCTTCTGAAAAGCCGCCGAGCTGGACACTTTGGCCTTATTTACTCAGTTACATGTGAAGAGCTCTGTCAAAAGCTGACAAGCGTCACATATAAAACATTACAATTCAGATTAGCGATCATTGGCATTTCTGAACAAAATAAGCTATTCATGCTTGCAGGCTGGAATCTGGAAAGCAATAAATACTGGTGACTACACAGAGCCTGCAATCTCTGCAAGAATCTAAATGGACGGCTGTTTAGACTGCCCGGGCTTTGGAGAAGGTATCTTGCCTTCAGAGAAGCCCATAAAATACCACAGCCACTTTTGCTGCTCCGTTAATTGCAGCAAGAACAACTTCAACTTCTGTAGGAAGGCGGTTACTTATTCCATCTTTCAGTTGCTACCTCGATACAGCAGCGGGTGGCTTTCATCCAACCGTATGAAACGTGGCGAGCTGATAAAGACAGAAAACTGTTTGTGACTGTAATTTGTATCGAAGAAGATAGACGTGCTTGTGCGTGCACAAGCTCTGCACATAGCTATTTCAGCAGAAAATATTAACTTTAAAAAAAAATAATTTAACTAGTGGAAATTTTCTAAATAAAACAGGCCAAACCAGTGCAAATGGCTGTAAGCTAATTGAAGAGAATTTGTGCCTCATTTTAGTCACATAATTTATTTCACTAAGTTGGCATAGTTTCACAACAGGAAAGGTTAAGGATAAAGATTTTAAGGTTGAGAATTTAAGATCTACTCTGCTGAGCAAACGCTGCTTTCCGAATACAGAGCCTTTCTCAGTACAGAATAACACTCAACTGGGGATAAACAATTAGTATCAGCAAGCCTTTTAACACAGAATTGAAGTTTTTCCTCTTTTTCTACAATACCATCTTCGAGAAGGCTTGACTTATTGGGTCCTTTTAATTAACAACCTAAATATCTTCTAATGCAAGCATTTTAGTATAATGGATGAGAAATAGAGAGACAAAAGGAAATTCTGAAGCCCGGTCGCGCAGTCTAACGAGAAGCTGTTTTTGCTGGTATTCTCAAAAGCTGCTACTTTTAGTTTCTCCGGATTAATAAGAATAAAATTAAATTACAGAAGAATATCCCAAATTGCTCTGATTCTTTCCTACCACAAAACCCTCAAGATATCTATTCCAATCTCTAGGTGACTTGTTAAACAGCATAGTAGCTAAGTTGAGCCGGTTACATTCAACCTAGTCACAGCTGTGCCCTTCCAAGTTTTAGTTTATATTAGCCTTTTTTAGCAACAAAATTACTGCATTTGATGAAACAAAACAAAGCACAGATTTGGTATCCATCTCACCCCTCTCTAAATGCTATAACACACTATGCAATTACACTTCAGGCTATTTCAACGCAATCTGCGTTTTATTAAGTGTGAACTCAGATCCCCTTAGAACGCAGTCTGAAAACTTACACACGTGAAGTTTAGTTAAAGATTCGTGCCAGGTGCTCTCACTGCCTCACGGTGACGTACGGCTGCTCGGGAATCAGCACAACTGGCCAGATAAACCCGGCTTAAGATGCTCGGTGTCACTGCGGCCGCGCAAAGCAGACTGGAAAAACCTGTGGAGTATAAGCCGCAACGTGGCTCCTTCTCCCTAATGACATGATTTAGGAAAGAGATCATGAAGGCAGACAAATCTGTCATGTTTTTTTCAATCACTATATCGGCTATTTAATGGGTGAAGGGGGTTTTCACGCGCTCTCGTGAGAGGTATTCACCTATCAGTTTTCCCTTCCAAGTTGGTTTCATTACCTCCCTCCTTCTGTGGTTTTGAGGCAGAATCCCAAGCGCTCTGCTGAAGACGTATCCTTTTCCCGAGTGAAGACCTTAAAGAGACTGTCCATAACGACCCAATTGGTCCACTCCAAAACGTGGACGTCAAGCAGTCCGTGAAGAACGCCACACTAACGTGCTCGTGGCATGTTTCCTTATCTTGCACTCGCTTTGTTTGGCTCCCGCCACGTTCGTCCTACCATCGCTTGCGTTTCGACTGTGTGGCATGTTGGACCTGGCATCTCACATAAATCGTGATGTGGCCGTACCATTATACATGATGTGACTGAAACATCAAAATGCTGTCACCTCCACCACTGCTTGGAGGGCTTTCCTGGCAGGGTGGCCAGCAGAGCTGCGGGCGAACGGAAGACAAACAATTAACAGCTCTCCTTCAACCAGCTGGCAAAGGAAGCGGGCACCAGATACAAAAATAAACTGGGGACGTTTCGCCCTAAATAACAATGGAAAACTTAACAGATGAGGAAAGTTATTCTATTAAAGCTTTTGTAACTTGCTTTTTAATGATAAAACAATGTCCGAATAATTAAAGCCATCTGTTTCTGCTTTCCAGCTGGTGAGATTAATGAAGATTGCAATGCAGAAGACAGAAAGAGTTTAGGCTAAAAAAGGAGGGGGAGGATAGGCCCCACTCAATGGGCAGGGGTAGGAAATAACAGAAAAATAAAGAAACAGTGGCGTGACTCGCCTTAGGTGGATATAAGAGTCTCTAAAGCCTTATTTATGGTCTGATTTTGGTCACAGATGCAAGCTCATCTTGTGGAAATGATTTATACAGAAATGAGCTTAAGTCAGGGCTTGCTTACATGGCAGGGGATTAATGTGTACTAACAAGGCAGCGAATTAGCAGCGTAGAGGCTTCTCTGTGCTGCCCGGCTAGGCAGATTCACAAAGCAGAAACTTAAGACTGACCTTACTGTACAAGAACTAGGTGTATATCATCACACTCTGATGTCTTGGAGAAAGAAACAGTGGGTCACCATCATTTAGGTCTGGTGAGACAGGAGGAATCCATACGTACCAACTGGCATGTTTTTGAAGTAACTCATTGGACTGACAGTTACCATGTAATACTTGCCAAGTTCCTTGCAATTTCACTGGAGGGGGCAATATAAGAGGTTATTTCAGTATGAAGCACCACTGGGCCTAAAACAACGACAAAATTTGAGGCTTAATGGATATCTTGCAAGCATGAAGTCTTGATCCAACACGAGACAGCTGTTATGTGGCAATTATAGTAGAGCTAGTGATGGTCAGATGTATTTTCAAAACGTGACATATTTTGAAATAATAATTACAAAAAGTATTCTTAACACCTTTGAGTATTTAAAAAATAACAACAACTTAGCTTGTTCTCTTTAGCAGTACCGCAATTATGACACCATACAGCAACTACCAGACTAATTTGGCCCTCGGAGAGTCAAATCAAACCACAAGCCTCGTCACGGGGAAAGTTACTTTGCATATTGATCTCTGGGCAACACACTTCCCACACAGTTCATTCCAGTCTGTTCCCATGCCAAAGCTGCGAGCCCAAATACATATTTATAATGTATATTCAATCAAGAAGACAACTGATTTAGCAAACTTAACTGTGAAGTTAATCTAGTTCATCTGAAAGTGAAGAGCGAGAACAAAAACCGCCAAGCGCTGCTCTCTGTGCAACTGGACAACTAGCAAAGGCAACCAAACCCCTAAACGAGCATTTGGGGCAGACTGAGGCTGGCACTTATTCGGGTTGTGGTCAGAAGTTCGTATCTCTCTTGCCCACAGAGACATACAGGATTCATAGCCCAACTTGTGTGAAACAGGAATGCACCTCCGAGCCCCTGCGCAGCACCATGTCCCACACCAAGCTGGGAGAAACGACGATCCTCCCCGTTTGGAGAGCTCGAAGGAATTGGCAAGATCGAGAGAGGAGGAGAGGGACAGAAAGCGGTGAGAGAGAGTGAAAGCGAGAGAGACAGAGCACTTGCTGGACATTTTTCTAGAAGATGGAAGGTGCAACTGGGCATACGTTTTTCCATCTGGATTTGTTTGACTCTCCTCAGAGAGCTTTTTAATGAAACCTTATTTCAGCTTATCTATGACCTCAAGAAAAAGAAAACAGATTTGAAAACTGTGGAAAAACCCACAGAATTTTGCTCTCTAATAAAAATATAAATCTGACTAATGCCATTCCAGCAAGTGTTTCCGGGTTGTTATTGAATTAGAAGGCCACTTGAAAAAATATCCCATATTTGACTTCCATTTGGGGCAGATTTTGTATTGTATCGCCAGAGAAAGTCAGTGCACGAGCCTCAGCCTGGGCCTGAGAGACAAACGTAACCTAAGACATTTTTGTGCACCTCAAATACTCGATCATTGCAGAGACTGAAATAATGCCAACTGTCTTCCTGACATCAGTTAGAAGAGTCCAAAAATCCCCATTGATTTGAATAAATATTTTTAAGATCTCCTATTTAGCACGGCCACTGCTTTGACAAGAAGCTTTAATTACAGCTACAGAGGATCTGAAAGAAACTCCTTACAGTTGCAAGCAACCTACCACCACATAAGTGGGTGTCAGATAACTTCAACAACCCAAAGATACACCCACCTAAAACTGAATTATTTCAGGCCATGAGAGCAAACTCAGTGCAGTAGACAAACGGAGGTGCTTACACACCCAATCCTGTGAGTCAACGAAGGCAAGGGCTATTAATAATTCATATGTTTTACAATTAATGTGACATGACAGCTATAAAAATGATTCACATGAGAGCAATGTAGTGCTCAGAGCTAATCTATAAAAAAAAGAAAATGGGTACTGTTTTAATATCTGTTTGCTCTTCACAAAGCTATCTTCTTTTTCCAGGGGCATGCTTCCGTCTCTCTGAAGACTGATTGACCAACAGAGCTTCTAAACAGTACATTATTTCCTGAAAAGTACCTGGAAGATACTTTCTACATACACTCAGAGCCGCACTGCTGAAACCGGTGATAAAATAAGGGCTTGCTTCTCTCCACGCACAGATCGGTGCAGCTGAAAAAACCGCGAGCTGGCTGCGGTTCCAGCCTGAGCACTATCTCCCCGGCTTGGGCAGGGGTTATCAGACGCGACCGCTTACCCACAGCCGTACAAGTTACGACACGGAGCGCACCAGCAGAACCTCAGCCTTGGGAGGAGAGCGCCGCGTTGCTCCTTCCTTCCCGGGTTTTCGTGGGGAAGCACTGCCAAGCAACGAGGATGTTTTTTGGCCCTGCCTCCATCCAAGCAGCTATAATCAACTGTTGAGGCAACAAATCTTTTTCCCCTCCCCAAGACCTAAAAGTCCTAAAATAAGGTACAAAGGTATATTCTTTGTGGACATTTTCTGTTCCAGTACGGATCTACATGCAAAAATCAAGACAAGTAACATTAGCCAGGTCTTTACAAAATGTTCCTTGATAGAAAATGTGTGTTGTTGGTGGTTTTTTTTTAAAACACATCCAAATCTAAACAGAAAGAAAATCATCAAACAACCAAGTCTGACCATGACTTAAATCACTTTGAGAGGAGAGAGGGGAGGAAAAAAAAAAAAAAAGTGAATAATCAACCACTATCACATGCTACCAATACTCAGCTGAACCGGAGCTCAAGTCCATCTTCCCCTTCTCACCTCTCGAAGGCTTGCACGCTGGCACAGCCACTTCCTTAACGCAAATCCTGAGATACTACATCATATTGTCCCTCTGGGCATATATGCCTTTGAAAATATCCGATGCCATGCTCAAATGCGCCCCAAAGAACAGTATGAACTAGGGAGGCAGCACTAAAGCCACTGAACGTATCTAATCAATGCTAACACTGCATCAAAATTATCTGAACTATTACAGTTCAGTGCATACTTGTTCTGTCCATAAGGGAAGGGATGACTGTTAGCAGGAGGTGACAACAAAACTGTAGGGGGAAATCTCAGGATGCATTTTTTTTTAAGATGTTTCATGTTAAAGAAAAGCATGTGTAGTCAAAATGTGATATCAGTTATTCCTTTTACTATAAGAAACTTTGCAATCTTTAGCGAGAAATCATTTATATGCTAAAGCAAATATTTAAGGTTTTTTTCTTCCAGTGTATTATGCATCATACTTCCATCAGCTCTTTTTTTCCCTTCTGAGCATCTTACTGCTAACCACAGCTCTTTAATAATAGTGCAAAGTTTACTTAAAAAAGAAAAAAAAAGCCTTTACTTCAGATTGGCTACTCTGAGGCTTATGTGCCCTGTTGCCTAAAATAATAACAATAATCAAAAATTACTAATGCTCTGCACTCCCTGACACTGTAATCCTTTGGCACAACATATTCTTGACCTGACCTACTCTCCTGGCTCTGGTTCCTTCGAGCTCCTGTAGTTCATCCCAGTTCATTTTTACTTTGATTGGGTTGTCAGTCAACTGTTGGTCCTATTTCACCAGTCAGATACCTCTGCCCTTCGCACTCTAGCCTGCTCATCATATGTCAAAAGCAATTTCACATGTTGCCATTGCTTCCCCTGACGATCAGCCTTTTCCTACTTCGGCTCCGGCAGCCCAAGAGCTTCAATCCCAGCAGCGAGGTGGCAGCGGCAGCACTGACCGCGGCCACCTTACGGTGCTTATACATTACTGGCTTTAGAGAGGGCACATGAAGAAACGTGACTATCTTTCCCAAAATTTTGGCGTCGTATTTTGAAATTCTGATCTCTGTCAGCGGGCCAAGTGGGCCAATATAACATCCTGCCCCAAGG